AAATAAATTATTTCCGATTTAAAATGTCTACCAAAAATCAGTTTAAGATTTCTAATGTTGAAAGAATTTAAAAAAATTAATTAAAATAATATACATTATAGTTTGAATAAATTTTGCTTAAATAAAAACATTGTTACAATATGCGCAACGATATAAACAACCAAATTAAATTTAATTAACCATTCTAATGTTAACTTAGCAGCAGTCTTTTAATGAAATTACAATTTTCAGACCGGAAAGTTTGCACAGAAGTTCTTATTTCGTTAGAAATATTAAAAATTCTTTGCTAAAGTTCTTCGATTGTATTCACTTCTGGTGAATATACCGTACTTTTTAAATGGTCTCAGAAGTAAAAGTCAAGCGCGGAGTTTAAATCGGGAGATCTAGGAGGCGAGTTTATAGGAGCTTCTTGACCTCTAGCAATCCAACGGCATGGAAAGTTTTGATTAAGCCGAAACGATTTAATTTTTTTGCGGGCAAACTAGTGCCCTTAATGAAAAACAATGAGATAAAAAAACTGATAAATAACTTGTAGTAATTAAAAAAAAATATGTTGATAAAAGTTTAAGTGCACACTAAAAAGAATGATATAAAAGTTATTATTTGTACGTTATTACGACAGAACACTGATACTACTTCGACACAATCAAGTCAAAGCGTGGTCAGACAAACCCTTTGAATATAAACCTAGTTAGCTTTATATTCAAAGGACAAACCAAACCACTTCACTTCCCACTTTTAACAGTTCTAACCTCACCTTTTTAAGATTTGACACGATACCTGACATAACATTAGATACTGGCAACGTTGTATACCAAGGGGGCTACAATTAGCCACTTCTAAATTATTTGCCTGTTACGGTTCGCCTTAACGCTAGATGACAGTGGTGCAAACGAATTCTGTCACTTAACTGTCCCTCTTATGTTAAGGTGAGCCTTAGGTTCACTGCTGCAAATGGCCGTTAGCAATGTTGCCAGGTAAAACTTTATCTTAGCTAAGTATCATTTAATTGACAGTCGTGCAAAGCTGTCTGTAGTTAGGGTTAACCTTAGTCCAAAGTTATTCCTAACTAAGAATGAGTTTTAAGGAAGACTGGTGCAAATGGCCGTTAATTGACAGCCGTGCAAAACTGTCTGTAGTTAGGGTTAACCTTAATCCAAAGTTATCCCTAACTAAGAATAAGTTTTAAGGAAGACTGGTGCAAATGGCCGTGAATCTGTCTAATTTGTGACGTCATTACGTATGGAGCGTATATGGCGCCAAATTTAAAACTAGGTCGCTCAGGCCGCAAAAGCGCTGCCAGCGGTGCTGAAAGTGCTGAGTCTTTACCGATGGTGAGTAGTTCTGTGAGTAGTCTGTGCATCACAGGCACGTGTCTGTAAGCACCTCAAGAAGTGAAGTAATAAAAAGTTAAATCATTTAAATTATCAGTGGATTAGGGATTTAAGGACAGAATATTTAATTCCTGGATCTAACTTTACCTGTGTGTGCACCGATCATCATTAGGTAATATTAACATGATATAAATAATTACTATACATTCCGTTTATTGAGTACGTGAACATTTTATACTGCATGAAAGTGCGTATTCAACATTTTCAATTCGATTTCAGGATATTAAGTACCCATTCAGGATGGGGTCTTTTGTTAGTACTGCTAAAAGCAATGACCAGCTCGTTGATATTCTGTTAGAAGCTGATTACATTAAAAGTTCATTAATTGAGAGCGTCTTCCGAGCAGTAGACCGAGCTGAGTACTTTCTCACAGGCGCGCGGGAAACTGCTTACAAAGATCTAGCATGGCAAAGAGGAAATTTGCACATTTCTTCTCCAAGGATCTGTGCGACGGCCATGGAAGCCCTCGAATTAGTACCTGGCCTGTCATTCCTTAATATGGGTTCCGGAACCGGATATTTCAGTACTATGGTTGGATTAATTTTGGGCATAAATGGCATAAACCATGGCATTGAAATTCATGCAGATGTGATCG